TAAATCTCAATATAAAATTTAAAATAGAGTGGAAGAAACAAATCTGAAAACCCAAAACCCAAACAAGTTCATCCATTCTCAACCCAAACACACCTCCACTCTCCATTTTTTTTAAACTCATCTCTAAAATCAAGTGCGAAAAAGAGAAAGAAAATCATTTGTGAAAAGAGAACTGAAAGAACCTTCCAACATTAAGCTTCCAAAGTGCAAAAACCATTCATAAAATCCACAAATCCCAAAGACAACCCATAGAGCCTTTCAAACAAAGTAACACATAAAATCTTTCTCGTATGAAATCCACTATGACCTTTTTCAATGCGAGATGAATATTTTTGACGTGGGGTTAAATTCATATAAATCTTCTAACAAGAAGGTTTCAAGAAGCTTTCTATCATAAAGCACGCCATAAATTTTTTTTTTTAAAACATAAAATGATTCATGAAATATTCTCACAAATTTTTACCATCTATGCTACATGCCACTAAAAATTTCAAGAGGAGTTTCTAACCCCAAATTCATGGAAATTGTTTTCATGCCAAATATACAATACTTTACCAAAAGTTCAAAGTCAATATCATGTTATTAGAAAGAAGCGGAAAGAAAGATTCCTTGATGCCAAATTCGTTTTCAAAAATTCAAAGGAAGCACTCTAACCAATCATAAAACAATATAACACTTGGACCCATGCAAACTCATGTTTAAAGCACATAAACGTTCTCCAACACTTCTCTAAATATACTTTATAAAAAAAATTTTATGAATGTTCACCGAGATATACCGATATATATATATATATATATCTCCAATATAGTTTAGAGCATAAGACGAATAAAAATCTGCACATAATTCATTTAAAAAAAGAAGGTTTAGAGCACAAAACAAGTAAAGAAAAAAAAATATGCATCCAATTCTCCACATAATCAATAAGAAGAAGCATATAACAAATAGAAGAAGCATAGAACAGATGTAGGAATTTTTTTTAGAAGCTAGACTTGCCAACATATTTTGTTTTAGAGAACAAAATCTCACTTGCGATGACATGATATAGGCTCTAACAAAAGTGTATGAATCACCAATCACCATTGCTAAGCACACATGTAGCATTAAGACATATTCATGAATTCAAACTTCTCCGAATATAATAATAACTGAATATCCATACGGCATCTAAAGAACAAATATAATCATGAATGAGAAAGAGACCCATAAAAAAGAATCTATTTAGTTGCTTATGTTGAGTGGGAGATTGGAAGAAGTCAATATTTCGCAAGCTACTTTCCAAGACTCATAAGATTTTGCAATATAAAGCCACGTCATGAAACCCCTCTAATAAAAGCAGGCTTTAAAACTTTCCAATACAAAATATTTTAACGTAAAACCACTTTCAAATCTCTCTCTTACATAAAGCAAAACTGCTGTTTTCAGCAGTAATACAGCAGGTTATAGAAGAAAAACAGAGAAATCGGCAAGAAAAATTGAGATACATCACTTCAAATACTTGATAATTGATGGTAGATTCAAAAGAAACAGCAAAGATACATGAGATCCTCTATTCGAGAGGAGGATTCACTCTCCCAATTCTCTAGAAAGCAATCTAGAGACCTAGCCACAAGAGAAAACAAGAGAACTCTTTAGAAAATTGCACATACCCTAAACCTAGCCTTTTCTCTCTACTTAATACATACAATTCAAAATTAATACAAAAGAGTTCAATAATTGAGGGAATAAATGCACATCCTAGCTCATTAAATCAAAAAGGTATACTTCTATTTAAGCTCATTATTGTGGAGTGGACTTGTGTCTCTTCCCTTCCCTTTGTCTTTTTGGTTTCTGCTGGCTGTTGCTGTTCCCGTGGTCCTCCCTATTGGTTTTCCCCCTCCTGGCTATTTTCCCGTGAAGTGATGCCCTGTTTCCTGTGCTGGTTCTTCAGGTCCCTTGCTGGCTGGGCTTCTCGTGAATGCTGGCTGGGTTTCCCGTGCTTCTTTGCCCCTGTTTTCTGTGCAGTTTTATGGGATGCTGTGCTATTTCAGTGGCTGTTCAGGTGTTGTTTCAGTGGCTGTTCAGAAGCTGTTTTAGTGGTTGTTCGGTGGCTGTTTTAGGAGTGAATGCTGCCCCTTTTTGGTGGCTTTTCAAGTGCTATTTTTGGATTAAATTTGGACTGATTTCTGAAAAGATTTTTGGAAATAATTTAATGGGATTTAATGAAGATAAAAAGGCTGTTTGGCTGCTCTCTTTGGCCCTATAAATAGGAGATTCTTTGTATGTTTAGAGAGAGTTTATGATGTCATTTTTAGCTTGCGAGCTTTGTCAAACTTCTCTTCTTCTGCCTTCTAGGAAAGCTTGCGAGCTTCTCCTTCCTTTTGTCTTGGCTTCTAACCTCTTCTTCTCTAAGCAAGTGACCATCCCATCTGTATCCTTCTTCTCAACGATTGGCAAGCTCCTTTAGATGTCTTTAATTTGTGTTTGTGTTAAAGTTTGTAAGTGTCAAGAGTTGTAAGAGTCTTTTTATTATAAAAAGTTATATTATTTCTTATTTTGACAAGTATTTTGGTAGTTAAAAAAAAGTATTTTGGTAGTTTTGTGTATCTTTGTTATCCTGAAAGAGTTGTCTTTTTGCTTGCTAGAATTAGGCTTTCTCCTAATTCTTGCTTGCATTAAATCCCCTCTCCAAGGCGAACTGACCCCAATAAAAGGCGAGAGAAATATGCCTTTATCAGCTCGAAGGACGATCTCCTGCTCCTTCCGAACGTGAAAATAAGTTCTATCCATCCTGTTTCGTAAAGGAAGCCTCTGAACATCCCTCCAAACTGAGGATGTTACGTAGTCGAGGCACTGACAACGACAGATTTTAATTCTCAAAGCAAATCGGGGCCGTTGGCTCCATTTCCTTATCTAGTACTAAACTTAAATGGGTTCAAAAAGTCAGTGAAGCCTCAATTGGAGTTAGGCTGGACCAATTTGGCTAAAATCATGTTCAAATCAAACCCAATTCGACTCAGTCCGGGCTAGCTTGGGCTCGACATGACCAAATTAAATCAATAAAAATCAAACGCAAATCGACGTCGATTCAGATTGAATCGAGCCCGACGAGGCTCGATCAAATGCGCTTGAGGGCAAATCGAGATAAAAAAGAGGTCAACACATATAAGAGTATTCGTGCATATAAAATGGTGAAGCGAGAAAACATATGCGCACACACACATATTACTAATCTAAGAAACGTTTGGAATATATAAAAAAAGCAAATGAACATATTTTTATGTTCTAAGAAAATATGACAATTGTTTGATCTACTTGTTTCAAAGAAAATTGTGCAACTATCTTCTAACATTCTATGTCAAACAATGAAGATATCTTTGTGACTGCCTTTAATAATCAACCTGCCTCGATATTTAAAATTTCATTCACTATAATAAACTATTTTTAAGGCACTGAAAGAGCTACTCAAATTCTAAATTCAATTTAAAGTATAACTATAAAAAATAAATACATTTTTCTTGTAGCATCACATCTATGGTACATGTTTTCCCTACATTCATTCATTTATTTCTAGTAGATGAAATTGTATACATTTATTAAATGACAGGAAGAAGTTATAGCATAACTCAGTGAGTGTATCATAAAGTACTATGTAAATGTCTTTAACATCATAAAGTACTTTGTCCACACCATTTTTCAAGCTTGTGTTGAGTCAAAATATAAACCCGTAGTTGAACATTCTACACTTGTTTGTCAACATTCTACTATGAAAATACTCTGTTTGATTTCACCTCACTTAAAAGTCTTATACCCAAGTGTAGGGCAATATTTTACTATATATCCAGGCTGATCATACTAGTAACAAGTGTTGGAGCCCATTGAATATTCACCCTTATGATATCTATCACGCTTAGTACATGCTTCCATAATCTTACTAATGTATTTTTTGGGTATTCAAAATCGCTCGAATTGGATGATTTTTTTAATACGCCACTCGATAGCAAGCTCACACCTATACCTATTATTCTCTCACGTTGATGAATTCATGCTGGTCATGCCATGACCTCTTCCTAGTGATTTTCCATTGTGACAATGTTGTGCATCGTCTCGAGCTACTATTGATGCCTACCCTTGCAAACTTTTGTTATGATTCTTTCACACGTTCCCTCTAATGACATCATGGTTCTGTACCCTAGGCCATGATTTAGGGCCTACTGTTGTGATTTCTTGCGCTTCAATGTTGTCGATGCCAATCCTGTGCCCTAGGTATTTTCTTTAGATAATGAAAAGCATTTTCAAATGTTTCATCAATCTCCAATGATAGCTAAGTATCCATGGGAGAGCAATAAGCTTGCACCCAATTAGATTAGTTTTTTAAGAAAGTTTGATTATATTTCCTTTGGTAGAGGAGAATTCCTTCCCCTTTATATGCAAACTTGATGCCAAGAAAGTATGTTAAATGCCCTTAGGTCTTTAGCGGCAAATGTCTTATGAAGATATTTCTTTTCTTCATTTATGTTTAGTGCTGCATGAGGTACTAAATCTATCCTCGTAAGGCTTTTTTCTCCACTTGTATCCATGTTTCCTTTGGACACTCATTTTAATTACCCATCTTATGGGGTGCATTTTAATTGCCTATCTTTGACACTCAATTTTATTACCCGTTTAATGGGGTGCATTTTATACGGTCTTGTACACATTCAAATCAGATAAGCTCTTCTCCTATCTGATCTTTAGTGGATATCATTCAAATTATTCCTCCAATCTAATCATTCTTCAATATGTTCTTATTTTGTCATATATCCATTTTAATATAGTCATTTCCATCATATTTAATGTGGCTATTAGTTTCTTTTTGACTGTTCAACTCTCAAGCTATTAGAATATTACTGGGCTGACTATATATATTTTGTTCGGTATGCTCATAAACTGTTTATATGGAAGATTTATTCACATTAATCTGCATTACTGCAGCCTTAAATGACAATCATTTCAATTGCACTTCACCGAATTTTATGCAGGGTGCATGGAGCCACTTTGGCTGAGATGCCTCTAATAGCAACATGCATTGAGCAGCGTCTGAAGGGAATGTGCCGGCGCCTTATGCACGTGATTGAAGAGGTTGATGCTCTGGTTATTATTTTGTTCTTAATTTCTATTAAATGTTCCAAGTTATCAATCATTTTCTAACTAAATGAATAACAAGTAAAACTTGTTGTCCATGATAAGTACTAGGGAACCAACTTCAAAACTTTTACGGTTTGGCTCATAATTTTGTTACTATAGGAGCATAACTACTGTTCATAATGTAATTTTTCATGCTTAGTAGTTTCAATTGCTTTAATTTTTCAAAAAATTTGAAGTAAACTAAGTTTGGGTAAAGGTTGTTAAGACACTTATTATTTCTTCATTATTTTTAATCTAAAATCACATGATCATAAAATTCAATTAAAGTTTCATGATATGCAAATTAATTTATAACAGTGTTGGTCTTGCATTCCGACGTTTCTTGCTTTGTATTAGTATTGAGTGGGTAGGTTAAGCATGTGATAAAATCTTTCATCTGTGACTGCCCAAAAATGAGAAGATCAAATATTTGATTATAATCATTAATTTTATTAATAATTGCCAATCGTATGTTCTCTTCATATAATTATCTTATGGGTATAAGTAGTAAGCATCTTTTATCTCAGTTTGAAAAAAAAAATGACCAAGTCATTTTTCATGGTATTTGATCCATAAAGCGTGTAAGTTTGTTCTTAAACTTTATCTTGCTAAATGCTAATATTCCATATGTTATGCTTCTCAGCCTGACATTTGTTTTCCAAATATTAGATGCTGAAATCATTGAAGGTTGAAATGCTAGTTATATCGGCCATGCCAGGCTTAGTAGAGACTTGGATATCAACTTTTGGATTCCAACACATTAATGATATTGACAAGAAGAAACTAAGTGGTATCAACCTGTTGATATTTCCTGGAGCAACGTTGTTGAAAAAGAACCTGTTTGAACGTGAAGGCAGTGAATCAGGTACTTTTTGCTAAAGTATACATCAACAATCAAGCCATGAGTCTCTCCAAATTATTTTTTGACTTTATTGTTGTTGACCTCTGTAATACTAAAAAAAGAGAGGATAAAAAAAATATTGATTGAATCATTACCTGTTGCTATCCATACCTGTAGCTATGGCGCAAATCCTGCTCAAATTAGCGACCCACTCCCTGCTAACAGCGCCGAACAGTCACCTCACGCATGCCTCAATCCCTCTCTTCATTGTCCTTAAAAGGAGAAGGGATCATGACCTCTTCTCTTCCTCCACTGGCTCTCATCCCCTACTCCCTCCAACCTCTCCGATTCCACACACAGAAGCTTCGACACTTTTCCTACACCAAGCCAAAACTCCTACTGCCTCCATCTCCTTTGCCTTGCAAGCCTCCGGCATCCCTGCTGTAGCCGAAACCGAACTCAATTGGAACCTCCGATTCACCTACAACAGCCTATCCCAAGCCCCAATGACACTCTACTGTGTCGAATCCCTAGCCCCATCGAGCCTTTGCCTGTGTCGACTTCTCACACAATCCAAGAGTGGGAGAGAGAGTGATAGAGAGAGAAAGAGAGGAGCTTTATCCCTAACCTTTGCTTCCTCCGATCCCAAGCCGTGCCCGGCTCCTCATTGAAGATGTTCCTACCTATCGGATCGGAAGTAATTTCGGGAGTTACCTCGCTGTGAAGGTAACTTACTCCCATTCGGCGCCTCTTCGGCCAAATCCCATAAATCCACTGAACTAGAGGATTTATTAGTCCTAGATTTACGACATGAAGAGGGAAACGAAGGATTTATTCTATCGTACGATTTACAGGGGGATCAAATCTCGTTTGGAAGGATTTAGCACAAATCCTACCTAAATCCTATATCCAAATGGATGTTTATAGGATTTAGTACATATCTTGCATTAATTTTTGTTTTTTTAATGGAAATTAATTTCTTTTAGTTATAATTAATTAATAATAATAATAATTAATTATATTGACTTAAAATTAATTATAATTAAATATTTTAATCACATTTAATTATTACTAATAATAATTAGTTTTAATTAAAATAATTTATAATTAATTTATTATTATTATTAATTATTATCATTAATAATTAATTATAATATATTAAAATTAATTATAATTAATCATTTTAATTTAAATTAATTATTATCTATTATAATTAATCATGATTAATTATTATATTTATAATTAATTTTTTAATTATAATTAATTGTAATTATAAAAAAATAAAAAATGGAATACTCTTGCCTCGATCCATGCGCCACAAGCCTCCACCACCAGTCCACCTATGCGAAGTTATAAGTTTCTAACTTAAATCTCGTTCTCAACGCTTACGACGAGCCGACAAACCCCCTATGCGCTTATGTAGCATAATAGGGAGGGAAACTGATGCGACACTTGCGACGAGACGGGTAAGTCCCGGAGTGCTCAAGTAGCGTAAAGGGGACAAAATAATAAAAATAGTAAAATAAGTACCTCAAAATGCTCATGTGCTGCAGAGGGGGGAAAGAAACTGCACTTTTAAACAAGTACTCGAAGACCCTTAAACGCTCATGTAGTGAGCGGGGATTGAAGAATTTGCGGCCGCGGTGTCATTTGACACCTACCTGAAGCGCTCAAGTAGCAAAGTTGGGAATGCTAGTCTCTCGGGTTTCCCCCTAAATGGGGGAGACGCTGGAAAGCTGCCGAAATTTGGATTGAAACAGGGGACTTGACAGAATTTGGACAAACTGAACTTGCACTCTGGACTCAAACTTGACTCAAGCTTTTCTTTGACCTCGAATTGAACAGTAAGGGGCTTGAACTTGAAAGTGATACAGGGGACTTGATGAACTACAATGGACTCATTGCGGACTTTAATGAATGCAAATGATATTGAACTCAACTTGAATTTGAACATGGATGAGCAAACAACAAGGAATAAATTTCAAATGCAATCAATAAGTGAACATTAAGTGAACAAATGCAACATTACAACAAAAATATAAACATCGCACCCTTGGTCTTCCCTTCCAGCTGTAAGCAACAAGCCATCCTCAGTTTCTACGAGCAGCTGAGGGAAGCCGACACCAAACCGCAGAAAATTTTTCAAACCTGTAAGTTGATTTTGCCATTTTTTTCTCCATTCGCCATTTCTCTTCATTTATCAATGATTTCGTAGATCTGTGATCGGAAGAGCATATTTTTTTAAGTATTTTATTTGTTTTGGATTAATATTACTCTTACAAAAAAAAATTATTTATTTAATACGCTTTCACTGCGCTTTTACTGTGCTTTTACTGCATTTTTATTGCGCTTTTGCTGCGCTTTTGTTGCACTTTCATTGCGCTTTTGATGCGCTTTCACTGTGCTTTTGATGCGCTTTCACTGCGTTTTTACTCTTTTAATAAAATTTTTGTTCCGGGGGCGCTGCCCCCAGAAACCCCCGAAGGGGGCAGTGCCACCTTGGACCCCCGGCATAATGCATGATGCAATAGTTCTTTAATTATTTTTAACTTTGTTTGACAATATTTATTAAGTCTTTATTTCTTCTACTTTACCAGTGAATTTAAAAGAAAATTGAACTCTAGTGCTTGTGGTTCAAAAGAGCCATCTGTAGAAACTGATAAGCTGTTATGGATTCGTGTTACAAGGTTAGGAAAAACTTTTGAAGGTGGAGGGAATGTGTCATTCAAATGCAATTATTGTGGTGACACCTACAAAGGATCTTATTCTAGGGTAAAAGCACATCTACTTAAGATTTCTGGTCATGGAATTAAAATGTGTCCTAAGATTACTACGTCACAGTTGATTGAATTGAACAGACAAGTTGATGAAGCTGAGTCTAGGATCACAAGGGCACTTCCTAGAGAGATACCTTTGCCTAACATAAAGAGATACCTTTGCCATCTACCAATGGATCAAAAGGTCTTGCTATCGAGAAGATGATGCTGGGAAGGCAAGGTATGTGAAAGAAAATGTCTTAAATGATTTGTGGTGGGATGATGTAGATTACATTTTGGCTTTCACTGATCCGATTTATGACATGTTAAGAGAGGCTGACATAGATAAATCATGTATACATTTGATTTATGAGATGTGAGGCTCTATTTTAACAAAAGTGAAAGATATTATATACATATATGAAAGAAAGTCACATAATGAAGATTCAAGTTTTTTGAGTATTGTCTATACCATTCTTGAGGATAGGTGGACCAAAAGCAACACACCTCTGCATTGTTTGGCCCATTCATTAAATCCAAAGTACATTTGTATTCATCTTTTAAATTATTTTTAAATTTCTTGGTAAATAAATAAATAATTTTATATGCTTTGTATTATTTGAAGGTATTCAAGTAAAGAATATCTTCAAGAAGACTCTCAACGTGTCTCACCACAAAAATATTTAGAAGTGTCAAATATGAGAAAGATATGCTTGAAACGATATTTCCCAAATGAGGAGAGAAGAAAAAATAATATAGAACTTGCAAATTTCTTTGGATATTTAGAGGATTTTGGTGATCAAGAATCTTTGATTGATAGATGAAGGATGGATCAAAAAATATGGTGGTTGATTCATGGAGCTTCAGCACCGCTTCTTCAAACTATAGCAATAAAACTTCTTGGCCAAGTATCATCCTCTTCCTGTGTGAGAAAAATTGGAGCACATACTCATTTATTCAATCAATGGAGCTTCAGCACCGCTTTTTCAAACTATAGCAATAAAACTTCTTGGCCAAGTATCATCCTCTTCCCTGAGAGAAATTGGAGCACATACTCATTTATTCAATCAATGAAGAGGAATAAAATAACTCCACAACGGACTGAAGATTTAGTTTATGTGCATGCAAATCTTCTTCTTCTATCAAGGAAAACTACACTTTATATGACAGGTGATAACAAGATGTGGGATGTTGCTCGAGATGGGTTCGAGTGCCTTAATGATATGGGATTATTGGAGGTTGTAAATCTTTCTCTAAATGAACTAGAGTTGGAAGCAATGATATTCAATGTTGATGATATTGAAGGCCAAAGACCAACCTCTGAATCTAATTCTATCATTCTCTCTATTGAGTAGTTGGACTTTCATGTTGTACTAAATGATTTTTTTATTATATTTTTGTGGTTGTATTAGACATTTTGTACTAAACATCTTTATGTTATAAGCTAAACAAGTTATCATTACTTTGATTTATTATCGCTTGCCATTTTTAATATAATATTACCTTAATTTCTATATATTATATTAAAAAATTATTATGTTGTGTCCACGCCGCACCCGTGTCCTATATTTTTAAAAAATGCCGTGTCGGTGCATCATTGCTTATGTCACATGATGAATGCAATAGCAATTAATACCGCTATGTCGAAAAGTAAGTGGAATCTCACAAGCGAGGAGGATTAAAAGTTCACTTAAAGATGACGCATGATTAATAACATGCTCAATAAACTGTTTAAAAGAGGGGTAAATAGAAGCAAATGATGATCATGATGTTTTGTTGACAAGCATATACATAGGACATGGCGGATCACAAGCAAAGGAAGGCATAGAAGTAGTCCCTCTACTATCAAGATAGACTAATATACAAATGAGCATATAAAAGTCTACTTGCAAACAATTAGGATATATATGTTGTAGGACTATAGCAAATGCAAGTCCAATAAACATGCAGTAACCGGTAAGTAAATTGGTCTTCTGTTGATAAGAGCAGATGAAATGCGACAAATGAGAACACATACAAATTCTTATGAAAGATCTAGCAAATACCCAATACGCCGATTCTTTGCAAGCAAGGGGTGGTCGAACTGCATCGAGTGCAAGCATTTTTTTTTTTGATTTGTTGGAGAATGTTTTCCATTCAAGCAACATGCTACTTACAAGCGAATACAAGGAGAATTGTAATGAAGGAGGCCCATCACATACAAGCAAAGGCGTCTATAAACAGATGTAGGAGAGGTCTCTTTCATATAGAAGTTCGGGCAAAGGTGAT